AGGAAAGAAACAAAGGCTAGCCCTCCTTAAGGTAACAAAGAAAAGAAGCAACGGCTAGCCCTCCTCAAGGCAACAAAGGAAAGAAACAAAGGCTAGCCTGGCAGAACCTGGTTCGGAAGGAATTAGACGGGGAGTTAATTCTTCATTAAGGTAACAAAGGAAAGACGAGATTACAATTTCTTGTGCCATGGACCGGCATTTTGACGTGGTACTTCTAGCGTGACCTGCAAAAAAGGACCATGCAGTCCCACGGCCTGGCTTTGGGAAGGACGACAAACACCCACACCCTGGTTTAATTCTTTTCTAGCACGTCTTCAAGCCAGATTTCTGAAAAGAAACCTTTGAACACAACTAAAACATAAGTTAATTCCACACATCCCACACCATATCATACAATTAACTCCCGGTTTATATAATTCTTCTACCGAGGGACAACAGAAAATCAGCTACTAAAGGAGTTAACTCCTGATTTAGTTCTTTTGAACTCCTCTTTTCACACTCTTCCTGGGGGATCAGTTTGGCCTCGGTCCCCAGAGATCTTGGTCTCAAGGTAAGGTCCGGCTTTAGACCACAGATGACGTGCTGGATGTTTTGTATGTGAATGTCGGTCAAGGACTCCTGTTTCTCCATGTTTCTCCTGAGTCTCAGAAGTGGTTTCACTACAGCTCCTTCTTGCCAGGGGTCGCTCCCCATCAGCAACTCATTTAGAGCTGCCTTCACCGTGACGACTGGATTCCTTTCGGCGCTGTTCTTTTGAGCGACAGCCCAAGGGGGCTGCGCGGTCCAGCCGAACGCACTTTTAACTTTGCAACACGTTCCAGGGCCAGCTGAAGCTGAGATCTTTGGCTTGGCTTTCGGTCCATGTGAAAGGGACAGCCGTGCCCTTCCTGTGACCTGCAACGCTATCAATGCTGTAGCAGTAGCACAACGAATCCAACAGTTTCTGACGGAGGCACAGGCCTTCTGAAAAGAGGGTTGAAGGCAGAAGATGTTTTGACATGAAGGTCAAGATACCTCTTGAAGATTTGCCAATTCTGTGATTCTCCAGCTGTCAATGGCATGGTTTTTGTTTCGTTCTTTTTTCAGACACTTGTGCATCTTGCAGCCACTTCTGTGGTCCGGAGATCCTTTGCTTGGACTATCTGTACTTGGCTCCATGAACTTCAACTTTGGACTCCCTGCGGATCCCCTGCAGGTACCAAACCCGGTGGAAAAAACCAAGGAAGGAACCGCACGCAGCTTCGACCAACAGAATCGTTTGCACAGCAACAAGCTGACCCACAGAGTTCCCAAAGCAACAGGAAGAGCGAGCGAAAGGAGCCGGTCTTTTCATGCCCCGCCTGGATGGCACCGGAACGTCCTCTGGCAAAGGCCAGCTGTTGAGACTGTCGAGAAGTGGAAGCCCAGAGAAGTGGAAGCCGAAACGACCTTCGATCAACTCCTGGATGCCCCGAGTTGAAATCCACTCCCCCAAATTGGAAGTGACAAACCCTGCCCATTCACAGTTGCTGTGTTTCTTCTTTTTCAGATCCTTTTAATTTTTGGACTTGAGTTTCTTGAAATGTGGGAGCACCAGGTGCGGTGCAAGGCGCCAAGCATGGTGCGGAGCTCGCCTCCGCTCCGACCAGCAAGGCTAAGGCAGCGAGCAAGGCGGCGAACCGCTCCGCACGGTGGGGTGCCCATCTGGGGACCGACAAGTTGGCGACAGGGGCAGGGAACTTGGAGATTTTTGAGGGTGGAAGGAGAGAGTTGATGCTTTGTATGCTTTGTTGATGGAGGAAGATGATAGAATTAATGGGTTGAAAGTTGGGAGTAGTTCGGTGTTTGTTTTCTTCAAGGCTTTCGTGGTTTGAAGTGAGGAAGGGATCGAATTCGGCAAAATTGGAATGGGCGCACCTCAACAGAATTGGCTCGGGCTCGAATGGGCCATTCTCAAGGGTTCCGAATTCTTTTGTAGACCTCAAGCGAACGCACTTCCAAGAAGCTAGGGCAGCTAGGGGGAAATGACACCTGACCGAGCTGAGTGTATTGCTAGATTTGGGGAGCTGGTAAGACTTTGCAGAAAGAATCTTTCATCATCATATATAGTCAAGAAATCCCAAACGTGCACAGCTGAATGCTGCAGGACTTGCATGTTCCTTTCTCCATTGTGATCTATCGGTCCATCCACTGTTTTGCATGCAAAGGGTGGCCTCGCAGTTATGCTGAGGCCGCTACGCCCTCAGAAGGCCTGGCAGAACAAGTGGCGGAACAACAGCTCCAGTAGATTCTGAAGTCGTCAGATGCTTCCGGTGTAGCTGTTTTGTCAGCATTCGACCCCCACACTGGTCGATGACGTGGATTATTCAGTTGTTTGGCTTGAAAATGAGGACTGTCAAACCAGAGTGGAGTTTCTCCCCGAGTGCTGGGCTCTTCCTGAATTGCATGGAGCTTCCTTTCTGATCCAATGGACGGGCCCCGGCCATGCTGCAAGAGCAGAACTGAGAGTGCCTGTGACGTTCAAACGCCAGGAGATGCGTGCGGCCGAGGCAGGAGTGGCTGGGTGAGGGGAGGGACCTTGACCGGTGTAGCGATCCGTCCCGAACTGGAGGTTTGGGTCGCCCAGGTTGGAGGGTGGCACATATAGAGTAAAGCAGACCAAACACGCCAACGGCAAAGCAATACGGGGTGTTGAATGGGGTCTGTGACTAGTTTTCTTCGTTTTCCTTTCACCATTTTTCGAAGCAGTTCTGTTTGAGTCACTCTGAAAGGGCAGCTCAGATGAAAGCTCCTCCGCAGCTCAGATCCTGCCCAATCCCGGCAGGGCACCAAGGCAGTGCGACCAACGAAGGAGAGGCGAGGAAAACCGCCGTCGGCGACTGGTGAACGGGCCAAACCCGTTTGTGAACGACCCCATCGCCTGGAAGGATGGCAAGAGGTTCCTTGGTCTTATGCGGTGCTTATGGTGGTCTTTGACTTACTCTTCACTTGCCCTTCGGACCAATAAGCCTGGCTAAGAAGTTCATCGGCCAGGCGCGCTACTTCTGGTAGCTTCAGGTTTCGGAAGGACGTCAAGAGTCGCCCCGGCCCCGCCCTGCCTTCCCTGCTCCCAGCGCACCGGAGCTGAAGCACCGGGAGGCCTGAAGTCCGACTGCGGCGGAGCCTTCTCCGCGGCGCGGCCGAGCGTTCTCCGCAGGTCGGGGGGGTAGGTCGTCGGGGTCGTCGGGTCTACGGCGCCCAGATGGGTCACCCGGTCACCACCATTGCCTGTACAGACCAGTTGGTACCTGGGGGTTCTTCACCCTTGAGCCCTGGTGAGGTGGGGGGAGATCACTTGGGGTACCAGTTGAAGGGTCCAAGAGCCGAACATCCGAAGAGCTTTAGCAAAGCAGGGTTCCATGCTGAACGCTCAATGGCTGCTATGCGTTCTGATGGGTTCTTACTTTGCCGAAAAGGATGGTCGTTCAGGGGCTGATCGCCGAAAAGAGATCCTCTCGTTCCCGGTTCGAACCAACCGGTCCCCCGGTACCGGTTTTGCGTGGTGTCGCGTGAAAAACGGAACGGACCCGTGTCGCACCATCGGGTCGTCTTGAGACCAACGAATTCGATCCGTGACCTGAAGAGGTCTGTGCGACCTCCACTCCTGAGGAGGTGGAGAGGCCGGAGATGGGCACGGGCCGGGCACACGGGTCGGGCACACGTGTGCCACGCGCGATTTCACGACGATTTCTGCCTATTTTGAGGGCACTGGGCTTTTGAGCTTGCTGGTATGAAAGGATTCTTTTATGCTTTTTGCATGCATGTCTGTGGTTTGATTTCAGCAGTGTGCAAAGTTGTTGAGAGCTCTTCAAGTAGCTACGTCAGCACTTGCTGAACGACATGCTTTGCCGTATGTCTCACCAAAACACAACCTTTGCACTTGTAAAGTCGTAACTGAATTCATTGTAAGCCCCACTCATTTCGACGCCAGAGCTACACGGACTCGGAACACTTCAAAGCAAAACCATCTTTTGGTGCCTGATGCCCCCCCCCCCGTTGCGAGGCTTAGGGATGTTTAGGGTATCTAAGAACCGAAACAGGGTGGTCTTAAGACCGTGAGAGAGAAAAGAAGTCTCCACCACTCCGAGGGGAAAACGGTTTCTTCTTTCTTCCAAAACCATGCGAAAATGACGTGACTGAAGAATCTCCATTTGGACGCCTTTGCGCTTTGGACGTCGCCGGGTGCCGGGTGCACCGCTGCACTCTACCGTGCGTTTTGGAGGTCTCCGCGAGTGGTGCTGACCGCACAGCTGGCCGCGAGGCAGCCCGTTCGGAGGAGTGGTATCCATTTGAGTACGGCTTTTGGTCAAGTGAAGACCCCCCCAAACTCTCTCCAGGACCACCACGATCCCTCCCTGCCGTTCCTGCTTTGGTCGCCGCCGCGTTCATTCCTGCGCACGTCGTATTATGCCGTCGTTCGTTCGCGGGTGACGAACCGCTCTTCGGAGGCTTCTGAAGGAGCTCTTGGAGGCCTTTCAACGGAGCGCCTCCGTCGAGGCCACCGGTGCCGGGCGAAGCTTCAGAGAGAGCGGTGGTGGAAGGTCGGACGAGTGGCCGACACCGTGAAGGGTTAGTGCGACCGGTTGGTGAAGCAGTGGGTGCTTTGAAAGTGTGAAAAAGAAGCTGTGGCATCCTGTGGCTTGGATTTGGCTAGGATTTGGTAGGACATCTGAAATCTGGTAGGTTCTTTTTCAGTGGCCACAGGGGTGTTACTACCTGTGTCCATCGTGGATCACCTTCCACTCGAACGTGCTCGAAGTATCGAAGTATCGAGCCACAGGCTGCTGTATTCCGCAGGTCCAACATGAACTGATCAACTACTATAGGAATCCCCTTTTCATGCTTGCCTCCTGTGCCTTCTTCATGCATCTTCATGCTTTTGGTTCAGACCTCCAAGGGGGTTCTCCTTCACTTTCCAGGAGGCGAAAGCCAAGGTGGGCACATCTTGGGGCTTTCACAGCAGTGCCGAGATGACGCGGTGCATTGAGGCCGGTGCACGTGCATTGACGCCTTCTTCAGAGAAACATGGGGAGCCGTTTTGGAGGTTTTTGTGGCAGTTCCCCTCTCAGCCAGCATCCTTTTTCTTTTTTTGAAAGAAGGATGATCTCCATCCTCTGGATGTTTGCTGCTTCTGCATGTCTAGCTTCGTCTAATGATTAAGCGTTCTGGGAGAAGACTTCTGCGTGTCTGGCGGGTTCTCAGCCAGCACAGCTTTTGGGGGGCAGCGAAGACAGACAGCTCGGAAAAGAGTCCAAGCTCGGTCGGGTGCTCTCAGATTCTTATGTTAGTAACCCATGAGGGGGAATCATAGGGATTCCTATGACTATTGACTGTTGACTGTCCGCATGAGTCCACTCACAAGTGAAACTCGGGCCGGGGCTCCGCACAACGTTAAGTTGCGAGGGATTCCTATGCCTATCTATACAGTCAACAGCTGTTCAGGGGACTTCCTTCTGTCAGGCGCAGGCGAATGCATCGCTGAAGCCCTGAGCTGATGTGGGCAGGGCGGGCGCCATGTGTCTCGACGAAAGAGGATTCTCAAAAAGGACTGGTCGAGAATCGCTTTGTTGCAGTTTAATATCTCAGAACGTGAAGCGCCTTGAAAAAATAGAGCACACCAGGAATAGGTTCTCAGAACCACCCTGCTAATGCTGCGTTCTTTTCAGCCTCAGATGTGAACAAGAATGCCCACATCATTCGTAGAAATTCAATCCGTAGTTCCAAGTCGTTTCACCTGCGCACAAGACGCACCTGATAAGTAAGTCAAAATCAAAGGCAGATGAACAGGGTGGAGTGTCCTGGTAGCCGTCATCGTGCAGACTTTATTGGTGATTCGGCCTTGACCTCATGCGACTGAATGAGACGCAGATCAAATCGCGACCGGTCATGCAAATTGAATCGGCTTACTTCGTCCCATGATGTCTCCCCATTTCTTGTACACATCTAGGGAGAGCTGTCCCGCTTTGTACATAACTTGTGGGGTCCTTTCGATGTGGAAAAAGGTTAAACAGATACATGTGGGGCACCGACCGGTCCTCGTCCGACCGATCCTCTGTGGCTCTGTGGCTCACCGGAAAAGCATGTCCGTGCCTGATGCAATTCGGTCCATCAAGACATGCGCGCGCGAGAAGAATTGGCAAGGAGCCTTGCTGCTGTTGAGAGAAGGGAAGGGAAGGTCACCAAGCGAGAAGCTCATCCTCTACACTGCGGCCATCAGTGCATGTGAGCCGCTTGGAGAGGTCGTTCGAGAGGTTTTGGAAAGAATACGTATATATTATACTATATATCGTTTTTGAAGACTCCTTTGGCTTTTAGTAAGTCATGAACTTTTGCCAAACCAATATTCCCCAATAGCCATGCTATGGGGTCTTGCAAAACTAATAGGCGGACGGGCGCCGTCGGGTCACCGTCAGAGCTGGTGGGCGGATGGTGTCCCGGTCATGTTTTGATGGTGTCCCGATCATGTGATGGTGGC